CTTTTGGCCAGATTGTCCTCAGGAGCATGCGCTGGCCTGCCACATCCGAGGGGAACAGGGTGTACCTCACTCTGCGGTCAGGGTGGAGTCCTGGGTTCTTCACTGCGCCTCTGGCTCTTTCACCCTGGCGGCTACCCAGTGAAACCCTGGAGGGGGTGGGCCCTCTGGGGACAGCTGTGTCCAGGAGTGCAAGAAGTGAGGGGAGCTAGACTGACGGCTCACGTTGACATGGTGGTCAAACTGCAGGTGGTCCGAGCGGCGCCTGCAGCCATGGGGTGTGTGGCCAGAGCCAGCAGTTGGCTGACCCAAAACACCATTATGATTGGAAACACCACAGATAGCTCTTGAGGCACTGACCTGCCAGGATAGGGGTCCGCTCGTGTGATGCGCCCCCACCCGGACTAGAGCATCTCTCAGCAGTCCTCTGTGTGGCTGCAGGGGGGTCAGCGCCCTGCGCCCCATGGCAGCTCCACGCAGAACCCTGGTGCTGGGTTCTTTGCCTCAGTGGCTCATGGCCCAAGGTGGCGGTGTCTTCCGCCAGGCCACTATATTTAAGTGTCAAAACAAACAGCCAAGCCACTTGCAACTCCTCAGGGTCAGTGAGCACATAACAATCTTGGCCGAGAAGAGCAGCATCGGGCAGAAGTCAGACTCACTGGCAGACAAAATGTCCTCATACAGCGGAAGCTGAGTGCTGGGGGCAGAGGGTCAACACTGACCCACCAGGGGCAGCTGCCAGGGCAAAGAGCACTGGAGATGTGTATTGGAGGCCTTGCCATGAGAATGCAGAGCAGACCTGTTGCAGCCACCCTGCCTACACCAGCTGGAGCCACAGGAGTAGAGACTGGATTGGGCTGGTGACAATCTACTCCCACTGGCTGTACAAGGCTGTTGATTTGCGATGCAGCCTCTCCTGTTACCCAGCTACCTTCACATCACACAGGAGGCCCAGAACCTCCTTTCTCCATGGGGTTCAGAGCATCAACCTGGGAAGGGACTGATTGCTGGGCTCGGCCGGTTCCATGCTCCAGGACCCCCTCTCAATGTGCAAGCATCTCCACCAGGAGTGTCTCCTCCCCAAGCACAGCAAACATCAGGGTCTAGAGGTAGAGCCACAGCCACAGTCCCCTGACACTATCTTCCCGGATAACCAGAAACCGTGGGAAGACTCCACCATGGAATCCAAGTGCCTGTATCTGGAAGACCTTTGAAGGTCTGAATTCTCCCCCTGCCCAAGGCCCCAGCATGTAGGACGAGCATGTAGGACCAGAGAGGCTGATGCCCACTCCTGATCATTTTTCTCTTAAAGCAGTGGTGGTTGGGTGGAGGAGAGGAAGGGGCCAGAGATCAAGACACTTCCACACTTCAGTGACATCCAGTGCTTTGGGCTCGCCCAAACCCTTACCTGGGCAGCATGACCGTCTCTGCTGATGTATCCATTTTAGCTCTGGGACCCCTGTCTTAACAGCTGTGTCATCACTCTCTAGGGTTCCATGCCCTTCCACTCACTGGGGTTTAACTTGTATGGTAGTGACCTTTATTTATTATGGGTTGTCCACTTACCAGGTCATCTCTAGTCTTTCCGTGATGGCTGAATGAGATTTCTGAGGCGGCAGGGCCACCTGTCAGAACACACTCCCTGCAGGCCACTCTTCCAGCTGTCATCACATTCTAGATGCCACCCCGGTGCCACGAGCCGTGTGCCAGCCATCAGTGGCTCCCTGTGGGGCTTCTTCTGTTCAGGTGCCTGTCCTCATAGCCAAAAATCTCACTCGTTCCTGTCCTCTGCCCATCGGGGTTGATGATGGCCCACACGGGCTGTAGCATTTGTTGATGTTTCAGAAGAAGGCTGTGTATGCAAAGCTCTCTAATGCTGAAGGAGCCAAGAGACCAAAGGCAGACCATTCCAGCTGGTCGATTAATGAGGTTAACAGGAGACTTACATACAAAAATGCAAGATGGTCAGACCTCCACGCTTTGCCTCCCAGACTGTTTTGTAGCCAGTGAGAGGGTGGAAAAGAAGTGTTAATCTAAAGGGGGGGGGACTGCCAGGTGCCGAGGGGGTCTGGCATCAGAGCTGGTTAAAGACAGACAGGTCCAGTGTAAATCACTCCAGAAGCAGAGCACAGTTTCCAGGGGCGGGGCTGGGAGTCAAGGTGGCAGATTAGCTACGTCAGGGCCAGCTCTGTCCGCACATAGTAAGCAGGGTGACCCGAGGCTGAACCAACAGCGCAAGGAGAGAGCGTGTTGACCAAGGCACCAACCAGGAATCTGTCTCTGAGCCTCCCTCTCAGCACGCAGACTGCAGCCACCTGCCCAACTCCTCTCCATTCACAGGCAGCAGGTGGAGAGGTCTGTGACTGCCCAGCTGACCACACAGGTCGGTTGGCATGTCTACCACCAATCCCCATGGACCTCCCTCAGGCCCTGTTACTGGCCACCTTCTTTCTCTGCTGGAATGATGTGTCTCTGACTGTGTCTCTTGCTTGTCACCAAACTGAATATCAGAAGCCATGAAGGATCTGAGATGATTTCCTGCCTCCCAGCCAGACACAGACACAAAACCCAGTCACAGAAAAAAAGCACCACGCTTTGGGTCAGTTGCCCCGATCCCCATGCCCAGGGCCAGATATTAGCTGTGCACAGTGGGTCGCACCACAAGAGAGACCCCAAGATTTAGGAGGTGCTGAGCTTTTGTAGGGCTGCTGACACATCTGCCCATCCATTCCCCAGAGAGAGAAATGCCTCGGGGTGGGGGGAAGGGGAGAAGGCTCTGTTTCTGTGCCCTGGACACCCAGGTGTCTCTGAACAAGGGCCGGAGCTGGTGTCATGTCTGCACAGCAGTGGGCCTCATGGGATGCCAGAAAGGCCTGGAGAGCTGTTCTCTGACAGTAGGCAAGGACTGAGGAGGCACTGGATTGATGATGTCACCAGCAGCCTTGCTGAGAGCTGTCCTGTGGGAGATGGAAGTGGGGGTTGGGGCGGGGGGGATGCGCGCTGGGAGATGATGAGAAGGAAGCACTGGAGAGGGAACAACTTCCTGGAACATAGTACAGGGGTGGAGAGAAATGGGGTGGCGGCTGGAGGCTTTGTTTTGCATGCGTTAAAATCATTTTTTAAGGTTTCCTGTGAATTAAAGGTCAAGATTCTGGTTATGAATGGTTGTAACTTAAACCACCTTGTTTAGCACATCGGAAAGTGTTTGTTTATGGAATTTTACTTATTTATGGAGGAAAGGGTTCTTTGGAGTGAAAGGTGCACACCTCCCCATTCCTCACCCAGGAAAGAATCACATGATGGCTGGAGACATTAGGTTGGGTGGATATTCAGACAGCGTGTCTGTTGGGGTTGGGGAGGTCTGCACCTTGGAGGTGCCTGGAGGTCACAGACTCACTGGCTAGGTGGCTCAGGGTCTGGTTATTGGAATGGGATGTCTTTTGTGGGGTTCGGGCCCCCAGCCTACCCTCCAAAGGCCACGCTGTGCACACGAAGGCCTGGGGACGTATCCAGGGAGCTGCACCTGGCCCTTGTGCTTCAGGCCCGCTCCCTAACCCGTCACTGCCTGTGACCATGACCCCAGGCAAGCCCCGCCTCTTGTCCCGGTGCACCTCTCTATGACGGCCTCCCTCCTTTCCAGATGGGAAGCCAGTGGAGGTGGACCCTCACCACATCCTCATTGAAGACCCTGATGGCTCATGCACCCTCATCCTGGACAATCTGACCAGCGCTGATTCCGGCCAGTACATGTGTTTTGCGGCCAGTGCTGCCGGCAATGCCAGCACCCTGGGCAAGATCCTGGTGCAGGGTGAGCCTGGGAAGGAGGCTGGATGGGCACCCGGACACACCCACCACAGCAGTCCCCAAGGCATTCGGATGGAGCTGGCAGGGGTTGTGGACGTCTGACCCAAGTCTGGGGGCTCATTGGTCCGGGCGGGGTCCTGCACATTACGCCTTCTCTCTCATTTTGTCTCTGTGTTCCTCTCTCTGTGTCTCTATCTCTCCATCTTTTCTCTCTGTCTCTACCACTTCCTTCCTCTTTCTGTGTCTCTCAATCTATCTCTCTGTGTATCTCTTTACCTGTCTCTGTGTTTCTCTCCATTCCTCTCCGTCTCTGTCTCTCTCCGTGTCTCTCCTTTTCTCCTCCCCACCCTCTGGCCCCACAGTCCCCCCAAGGTTTGTGAGCAAGGTCCGGGCAGTGCCTTTTGTGGAAGGAGAGGACACCCAGGTCACCTGCACCATCGAAGGTGCCCCGCACCCTCAGATCAGGTGGGTTAGGTGGACAAGGGGGTGGGCCTGCCCCAGGGCCTCCACTTCTGCCTGCCAATCGAGGGTGGGCAGCTTGTTCACTGTGTTGGGGTCAACTAGACAGAAGCTCAGCCATTTGGGTGAGAAGTGGGTGTCCTGAGGGCATGGCCTGTCTGACACAGCCCTCGCTGCAGCAAGGAGGGACTGCTAGGCCGGATGTTGGGCAGATGGCATCCAAAAGGGTGGGCGCTATCAGGACACCAGGTCTGTGGGGTGGGTGAGGCGGGTCATGAGCACTGGGGGTTTTGGAGAGGCCCCACTGACTACTGGGGCTCCTGGTTTCAGGTGGTACAAGGACGGGGCCCTCCTGACCCCTGGTGGCAAGTACCGGACCCTGAGTGAGCCACGCAGTGGCCTGCTGGTACTGGAGATCCGGGAGGCCAGCAAGGAGGACCTGGGCCACTATGAGTGTGAGGTGAGCAGGGAGGATGCAGGGAAGTGGTGGGGAGCTTGCCGTGGGGCCTCAACCTTGTCATCATCATCGATAACACATAATGTAGAGCGGACACCAGGTTCAGGTCCCGCAGGGTCCATGACAGTACACCAAGTCCACTGTCATGTACGTCCATGGATGAGACAGAAGATATCAAGTCCACTGTCACCACCATCCATGATGAGGGAGGAGACACAGGCTTACTGTCACCTACCATTCATGGTGAGAGATTGTACAACAGACTTACCATAGTCCATTCTGAGACAGGAGACGCCATGAAACTGTCTCCCACCACCGTGGTGAGAGAGGAGACACCAGACCGACTGTCACTCACCTTCTGATGAGAGGGAACACCAGGCCACTGTCGCACACCACCCATTATTAAAGAAGGGAAAACAGGCAACTGCCACCCCATCTATGATGAGCTAACAGGACTCCATAAGCGGGGCTCTGGGCAGGGTCTGTCCTGCCCTTCATGGTCCAGGGACAGTGTGTGCAGGCTGTGTCTGCCTGGGGCCAGCCTTTTCCATGATACTGCTGCTGGCAGCCTGGGGTGGGCCGGGAGGGGTCTGCCCTCCGTGTCAGGTCTCAAGTCAGCTTGGGCCCTGTAAGTTCAACTCATCCCCAAAAGGGTGAGTCAGGCTCCCTGGACTCTAAGTGGCCTTTGCCATCTGTGTCTGTCCCGCAGCTGGTGAACCGGCTGGGCTCCGTACGAGACGGCGTGGAGCTGTGCCTGCAGGGCCCTACCCTGCAGGCCAGGGAACCGCACCGCCGCAGGGAGCACGTGGCTGTGGTGGAAGGTAGGTGCAGCCGCTGAAGGTCTCAGCCTGGCTGGATTTGCTACGCACATGGGCGGGGCTGGGTGGGGTGACACATCAGTCCTTCCAATCAGGGTGTGCTCCCTGGAGAAGAGGCATTGGATGGAGGGGCTGCAGAGGCCCGACTGGAATAGAAGGTGGGTGGGACGAGGATGATGGGCCATAAACCCAGAACCCGGGCAAGGCTGGACTGACAACTCTAGGGCTCAGGGCCCAGGCCCTGCTCACCATCCCTGGGGAATAACATATCTAAAGGGCAGACCCAGGCCTGGGCAGCCCGTCAGGCAGCGGCCAGCAAGTGGGCGAGATGGGAGGAACGGTAAGTGGGACAACTCCACCTAAGAGAGGGCGCTAGCCAAGTGCAGAGTGTAGGCTGCTGGGCTCCAGTTTGGCTTCCAGGAGATGGAACAGGTGTCATGGTTCTGGTCCCTCCATACTAGGCAGGCTGTCCATGTTGAGTATCCCTGGCCTGGGGCCGCCCCTGGGGTCTGGGAGGGGGAGAGGTGGACCAGACTAGAGAATGGGCCTCATTTGGGAAGGTGTGTTTCTGGCAGGAGGCGAAAGGCAGGGCATGCTTCCACTCACACACACTGTGACCCCAGTGTCCCAGCTGGGCCTGGCTGAGGATGGCCAGGACGGGGAGGAGGGCAGCTCACATCTGTCCTGGGCTGCTCAGTCTGAGAGAGCAGCCTTCTGGGGCTCACAGAGCAGGCTGCCAGGGGAGAGCTTCTCCGTCTGAGCTGCCTCACCTGGAAGGGGCTGTCTGGAAGGTGGTGAGCCTCCTGTCCCTGGAGACATGCAAGTACAGGCTGGGCCAACACCTGGTGGAGCTAAAACTCCCATAGTAGGACAAGTTGAAATGTGTGTCCTCTCAAATTCTGAAAGTTGGCTGCTGTGATCCTTGGCCACTAGACCCAGTCCCTCCCAGGACCCAGCGTCTGGGGGCCACTGTCTGTCTGGATCCTCACAGAGTCGGCCACCTAGAGTTCAGAACTTGGCCTCAGGGCCTTTGAGACTCTCCAGGGTCCTCACGGAGACCCATCCCTCCCTTGTGGGCAAGGGTTCTGGTTCCTCGTCCCCCAGAGGGCTGCCTGCACTGCCGGCCAGTTCTGCCGGAGGACAGGGCTATCTCTGGCACCTCCACTTCCTGCTGGTGGCACCTCCAGGGGGTGTGCTGAGCAGGGGGCTCGGAGCTCCCTCTCAGCTGGGGATAAGCACGTCCTACAGAGCCATTCTCTTCACTGTCCTGGTGGATCTTTTCTTGTCAATGTTCCGTGACCGGCCTCCAGTGTGGACAAGTGCTGTGCCTCACTCAGGGAGATGGCCGGTCCTCACAGACCCTGGAATTGGAGCCTGCCACCTCCCGCTTCCTAACCCTGTCCTGCTGCTTTATCGATAACCTGGTGGCCCGCAGCCAGCTGGCCCTGTGGAGTGGGCGCCGCCCCCTCGCTTATGAAACTGCACTGGGCTGGAAGTCCTGCTTCGCACGTCTGCACCCCTCCCACGGTCGCCAGTACTCACCAGGGCCCAGAGCCTATCAGGCTGCAGTTAGGTCAGGAACAAAGCCATCTAGGGGTGCCAGACCAGCACTCCCAAGAGCACAGGATGGCGTCAGGGAAGACGAGAGGCAGAGGCCTGGTTCTCCCATTGCTCTGTGCACAGGGTCTGCCCAGCTTAGACAAATCCATGGCATTTTGTCTGAACCCATTCTCCCAGCAGGCTGCCCTCTCTCGAGGAAGCAGCTTGCACAAACACGCACATGCACGCACACACATACACCTGTGTGCATACCCACACAGGAACACACGTACACACGTGTGCACACACAGAGACTCAGCTAGTACATTTAATTCACATGCACCTAATCAGAGACAAGTCTAAAACGCTCTGGGTTGCCTAAAGCAAAGCCTTACTCCGTGTGGCTTTGCAGCAAAGCAGAGCCTCCCCTTCAACTTACACAGGACAGTGAGAGGGGACGCTGAGATTTGAGGGAGCTGGTAGCCGGTGGCATCCTTGCTGTCCAGGTGGGCAAGACTGGGTGGGACACCCCTGAGCCAAGCCTGACCCCACCCAGAAGCTGCAGAAAAAGAGGCCTTAAGATGATTAGCATAACTGCTGCCTGGCCCCAGACAAGTCCTGTTCTGTCTCTGGGACTTGGATCCCCCATCACAAGACAGGAGTCACAGGCCCTATCCTGCTGCTCCCGGGAGGAGGAAAGCTAGGCGCTCCTGTGCGAAGACCTGGGTTGCCCAGGCATCTGCAGGCTGCTCCCATGGGCCTCTGTGTTCTCCAGCCGTGGAGCTCAGATGCGCCTCCTCCAGGACTCCAGCCATTCTCTCCTAGAGACACCTTTGGTCTTTAGGGGTTCTTTTTCCCTGTAAAATGGGCATCAGCTCTCCTGGTTCTAGTTTGGCTGCTTGCTCACTGTGCAGCCACAGGCTATTCCTTCCCTCTCTCTAGACCTCAGTTTCTATGTCTGAGAAGCAGGACTTTGGCCTGACAAATTCCCAGGGTTCCCTAGGCACATGGCTGAAGGAGAAGCTGGGATTCTGTGTGGGCAGCCTAGGAAAGGGCCTTGCTCTATCTGAAGCTTCTGCAAGACCCTCGAGAGGGACAGGTCCTGCCCTCATGGAGCATGCATTGCCATACCACTCAAGGCAGACAGATCAGCAGTTCAGTGAGGGAACTAGCGCTCTAAGATGAGACAGTGTCCCTGGGGCACACGGCCCGGCAGGGCTTGGACCCAGTGCTGCTAAGCTGAGCGGGCTACTACACTGCCATGCCACTTAGCTAGCTCAGCCCTACGTGCTGACTGATCTGTAACCCTCGCTATTCCGACTGTTTTCTTTGTAGTCACTGAGCAGGAGACTAAAGTCCCCAAGAAAACCGTCATCATGTAAGTGCAGGCGTGTTTCTAACCTTCCTTCTGACTGCCGTGCCACCTGCATGCCCACTAACCCACCCGGACCTTGCCTGTGTGGTCTGGCACCTGCTTGCCTGACTGCCTGCCCTCACAGTCTTTGCTTGCCACACAGACTGCCAGCATCTTGCAGGTACCACCAGGGAGTTCACTCCCCTGGGACTTGGCTACCTTAACACTCAGAGCTTTCTCTTCCAGGGCCCCAGAACCCTCTCCATGGCTGCACTGCCTCAGGAGGGTAGACTTACTCTGCACACTCCACAGTGTCTCACCTAGAGTCACACCTGTTAGGGTAGACCTGGGGCTGACAACTGTGTCCTGCTGGGCTACAGGCATATTTCTACCCTTCAACACCCTGGGATCTAGGGTGTTGCTGTCCAACAGAATTTCCTATGAGGATGGAAATATTACAAGTTTACAGTGTCTACTACAGCTGCATGTGACTATTGGGCATTTAAAATGTGTCTAATGCAAATGAAGAACTGAATTTTAAGTTTAACTTTCACTAGTTTGACTTCAATTAAAATAGTATAACCATCGCTCTGGAGCCCTTAGACATCTCCAAGGCCAACCCTCACATTTGAAAGATGGGGAAACTGAGGTTCAGGAGAGAAAAGAGGGTTTCTCAGGGTGGCTTGTGATTCAAAGCTAACGAAGCACCCATTTCCCCGGTGCCACACCCACTGTCCTTCTTCTCCCAGGCCTTTAAAGCTGGAAAAACAAGACATATGGTTGTTGATAATTAAATAACACGAGGTCCAGAGCTAGTTAAAGCCATGAGGGAGGGATTGGTTTTGACCTGGACAATCTGGAAGGACTTCCAATAGGAGATGTATGCAGGTGGATGTGGTGGAAGAGCTCGCAAAAGCCAGGAGGCAAGAAAGGTGATCATTTCCTAAGGCCAGGTGACTGAGAACTCCAGGATGGCAACCTCTTAGTTCCCCAAGGGCCTCAGGCCTCTTAAAGGGCCTACAGTTAGTCATGTTGCTAGAGAATCCCATATTCACATGTTTGATAAGGTCCTGGGTTAACCTTCCTGACTTCCTTCCTCCTCCCACAAAGCAGGTCGACACCCCACAATAGATGGGGCTGCCTGGGGCAGCAGTGAGCACCCCATCCCTGGAGGTATGCAACTACTCTGCAGCGTTACACAGACCAGCTCTACATTTCATCCATGAGAGGAGCATTGTTATTTTCACATTTTATGGATGACATAATGAGGAGCAGAAATGGGCCAGGCTGCCCTATGTGGTGGGGGAGTGCGGGGTCGGGGTGTCAGAGAGGACTCATACCAATGGGAGACTGGACTAGGTGACTCCAGGTACCCTAAAGTCCATTGCATTCCAGGCTCATGGTGGTAGCAACTTTCACCCCACAAGGAGTGTACCCGTTCGGCTTGAGAAGTGGAGGGAGGCAGCTGCCTGGCACAGCATGCCCCCGACCAGGGCACACCACACAGTGAGGGTAGCGGGGAGCCAGGAGTATGGAAGCAACTGGCTTGGAGAGACTGCCACCTGGAAGCCCACATGCTGTACCAATGGCCTCAGAGCAGGATGCCCACATGCCCTCATGGGAGCAGCAGTGAGCCCAGTAGTGGGAGTGGCATTTTATTTATTTATTTATTTATTTTCGTTAATCCTCACCTGAGGATATTTTTCCTTTGATTTTTAGAGAGAGTGGACAGGAGGGAGAGAGGGGGTGGAGAGAGAGAAACATTGATGTGAGAGAGACACAGCAATCAGTTGCCTCCTGCATGCGCCCTGACCAGGGCCAGGGATGAAATCTGCAACCCAGGTACATGCCCTTGACCAGGAATTGAACTTATGACCTTTGGGTCATGGGCTGACGCTCCAACCACTGAGCACCACCAGCCAGGGTGGGAGTGCCTTTTAGAGGAGTGATCCAGTTTCCCAGTTCCACTTGACCCACTGTCCTTTCTTAGCTAGTTAGGCAGCATGAGGCCAGCAGATGGGACCTGGCCCAGGTTCCCCTGATGTTTGGGCAGACTCTGACCTCTGGGCCTGAGTGTGGGGCAAGAAGGCAGGTTTTTGGCCCTGAGTAGGTGCTGACTCCAAACCTCAGTTTCTCCTCAGTGAAGTGGAGATAGCATTTCCCCTTTCCAGGTGAGGGCTGGAGGGGGCAGGACCTCTAACTGCTCTGCACCCTGAGGTGTGGCCACAGATCTCTGGGTCCATGCCTGAGGGTAACTGCTCCTGGATGGAGCCCCGAGTTAGACAAAAGCAAAGCTGGAGAAAGAGAGACAACCTCTTATCAGGCAGGCAGCTGGCGACAGCACACCAATCCCTCTGCCTGAACCAAGAGGAAATGTAGGTCCTAGGGCCCAGGAAAGCTGTGTGTTACTCAGTCCATTGCTCTCCCTGCCTGTTCCTCATTTCGCCCTCAGCACCCAGCCAGGTCAGGGCATTGGATGGCCGAGGAGGACCTAGCTGACTGGTGGGCTTCTCACTCTTGGTCCTGAGAAAGTTTTGAGCCTCTTTGAGTCTTGTCCACTCCCGTAAAAGGGGGCCAGACCCATCCCCCAGTGCTGCTGCAGAGTCCCCAATCAGCACCCCATGTGCACCCACATGCAACTGGCCCTGAGTTCTGCTTCTCCCCCCACTCCCTGTTTGGAAGATGGGGCCCAGGAAGGGGAAGAGCTTGTCTGAGGTCACAAAGCCTATGACAGCAGAGTCACATCCCGGACCAAGTGTCCTTGCCCAGCCTCACACCACCAGACCAAGAGGCCAGGGACCCAGACTGCAGGTCAGGGCTGTGACAACCTCCTCACACCTGCACCTGTGGCATCAACTGCCCAGTCTGTCCCTAACTCAAGATCACTGAGGCACCTGCCCTCTGAGAGCTTGCTGGGCCCCCACCCCATGATACAAAGCACAAAACGCTGGTGGGATGGACAAGGAGGACTGTGGGGCACTGTTCTGGCACACTGGCCATTAGCTCTGAGAGGACTGGCATCCAAAATAAGACAGCTATGAACAGGGAATACTACCCACAGGACTTGCACACTGGACTTGGTCTGGGGTTTGGAGGCACCTGTGTGATGCAGTGATGCCTCAACTCCTATTTCAGGTCTGCGCACCAGAGCCCATGGTTGACCAGATGAGACTCTGTTTGTTTCTTTGGCTCTCTGGCTGGGGGTTCCAGAGATTGGGCTCAAGTGCATGTGTAGGAGCTTATGTAGTTTCACCCTTTGCTTGCTGGTACATTAACCTGATCTCTCCTGCTGGCTCTGAATGTGCTGGTGGCATGGGTGGCAAGCCAGGCTGCAGGTCTCCGTGCCATCTCCTCTCGGCCCTCTCCCTGCAGAGAGGAGACCATCACCACCGTGGTGAAGAGCCCGCGTGGCCGCCTCAAGTCCCCCAGCAAGTCTCCCTCCCGCTCGCCTTCCCGGCACCCTGCCAGTTCACCCAGGTCAGGCCTGTCAGCCCCTGAGTTGCTGCATTCACCAGGGGCTGGCCAACTTCGAAGGCCAGGGGAGGAGCCAGGCTGGAAGCCCCCTGTACCCACACTGTACGTGACAGAGCCCGGAGCCCATACACCAGCCCTGCCCAGGGGCACTGGGCCCAGGCCCAAGTGGGTGGAGGTCGAGGAGACCATCGAAGTCCAGGTGAAGAAAACAGGCCCAAGGGGTGCATCTCCAGCTAGAGAGGTGCCTGGCAGCTCAGCGGGGCTTCTCTTCACGCTTCCTGGTGGGACCCCCAGAGGAGACCCCAACACAAACAACTCCAACAACAAGCTGCTGACCCAGGAGCCCCTGACCCAGGGCAGAGTCTTCTGTGTGGACGCTGGGCTGGAGACCCATGAGCTGTCCCCTCCTGGGGCCACCGAAGAGGAGGGGAGAGGTGTCCACCTGATGGAGGAGCCCCTGGGCGCCGAGGACCTTCGAGGCTGGGACCCCAAGATCCTCACACGCGATGGCTGTGTGCTGACGCTGGCTGACCTGGAGGATTACATGCCCCAGGAAGGGGAGACCTTCGGCTGCAGCAGCCCCGTGCCCAGTGTCTCCGACGACCCACCCTGCGAGGTCTCGGTGCTCCAGAGAGAGATCAGCGAGCCCACTGTGGGACAGCCCGTCCTGCTCGACGTGTGGGGCCCACCAGGCCCCCGAGCCCCACCTGGCTTCTTCAGCTGCTTGCCCCAGGGAACAGCTCTGTCGAGGCCCCAGGTCTTCCGCCCCGTTGGTGTCTCCCGGGCTAGGGGTGCCACATCCTTCTGCACCCAAGTCCATCGCTCTGCGGACAGTGGCCAGAGCAGCTTCAAAACGGAGGTTTCCACCCACACGGTCAGCTTTGGGACAGTGGGTGAGACAGTCACCCTGCACATTCGGCCTGACGGGGATGAGGACCCCAGTCCGTCCCAGGGCTGAGGCTGCGACCCTCCACCCTCAAGGACACAGGCGGCTGGGGGGTGAGACATTGACCCTCTCAGAGCCAGTTTACTGCTGACAGGGCTGCATGAGAGCAGCAGAAAGAGGGGCATGGCCTTGGGGCCTAGGACCCTGCCTGGCACCGTACCTACCTGCTTCACAGCCGCTGTGAGTTTTGAGCTCAGGAGAGGGGCCTGAAGCCAGCACCTCAGGACATGACTCCTGGGGTCTTCAGCTGAGGACACTGTCTGCACAGCTGTGACCCAGATTTACTGAGAGCTGTGGGGGAACAGCAGGTAGACTCGGTCTGGGCTGTGGGCTCCCATCTCTCTTTGCTGTGGCACACCCCTGCCCACGCCCAGGCTGCCCCATCTCAGTGGGGACTTTTGGGGGGACATCTTCCCATGGACACTGGGTGCCCTCTGCAGACTTTCCAGGCCTCCCCTGCAGCTTGGGCCAGGGTCTGGGTGGGAAGCAGCCCCTGCTAGTTGACTCCATGATGATAATAAACTGGCTCCCACACCCTGTACTCTGCTCCTTCTTGCTTCTTCCAGTGGCTCTGGAACTTGGGCAGTAGGGGCCCTCTAGACCTAGCTCTGGGGACCAACCAGTGGCAGCCCAGGCCCCCTCTGCTGCAGCCTGGGGTGGGTCCTGGCCATCTGAGGTCCCTGGGTGGAGGCAGCGCACTCGCCTGACCAGCCTGCCAGCACTCGAGCAGGCAGGCCTTCCTGCCCCTGTGCAGCCAGGCTGTTGTCAGGACAGACAATGGGGGTGTGATGTGTTGGGGGGGGTCCTCCTTGGAGTGGGAAAGGACAGGGTGGGTACCCTAATGCTGGAGAGGGTCCTGGGCCAGGGGAGGGCTCTAGGCAGGGGGACCTGCTGGGAATGGAGCAGTGGGCATGACTGGGTACACCTGTCCGACTACAGTGATGCCACCTGGGGCTGGCAGCCAGGCGGAGGAAGGGGCTGCACCCAAGGCTGAGGGCAGGGAGGGTCTGGTGGGAAGAGGTGGGGGCTGTGTTGGAGGCCAGGGCAGGGCCAGATGAAGGGGCAGTGACCTGGGCCAGACAGGCCCTCTGTTGGAGTCCCGTCCTGGGTGGGGGACAGGGTCTGCTATGGTAGGGCAGTAAGGGAGCCCACCCCTTGTGGGTGCCCAGGCCCCTCAATTGGCTGCAGGTTTCCCTATATTATGGGGCTGGGTCCACTGGGCCTGGGGTCCGGAATGAGCCATGAGGGAGGTCAGCACAGGATGAAGGGATGGCAAGAGCTGAGACCTTGGGGCAGACGGGGCACATGGAGGGTGACCATGCTCAGCTGCTCCTGAGGAGTTGGCGTTCTCCTGGAGGCATCTGGGCACAAGTGCAGGAGTGGTGGGGCTCTGCTCTCAGTGCCCCGGGCACCACCTCTACCCACTCCCAGGCCCCTTTCTCTTTCGGGCTTCCACCTCCAGCGCCTCTTGAGAGAGGAGTGGTGGGTGGGAAAGGCAGCCTGTTCGTCTTACCTGGGCATCTCTAAGGACTGAGACAGGCTTCCTGAAGCCCCTGCTCAGGTCCTCGGCCCTGTCTCACGGCTACCGGCTGACCCACTTTTCCCATAGGTGCTGCTGTCCCACCCCCAACTGCTCTGGAGCAAGTGGACCAGAGCACATCTGTCCAGAGGACACTGGTGGGCCCGGAGGCTCCGGAAACCTCTGCAGGGGACCACGCTGGCCTGGGCCCCAGGGAGCCCCGTGCTCTCCAGGAGGTCAGCCAGCTCCTAGGCACTGAGGCTGCAGAGGAATCTGGTGAGGCCCAGTGGCAGGCTGACTGCCACGTACCACCTCCTCCCAGACCCCTCCTCTGTGCTGACCCAAGCCTTGGTCGCCATGGGTGCTCACCCCATGGGAGTGAAGTGGAAGAACCCTCGGGACCCAGGTATCACTGGGATCCTTGCACGGGGGCCCTGGGCGAGGCCCACCCCTTACTCAGGCTGTCACCCATCTATGAAACTAGACAAGGGAGAGGTAGTTCAGGGAGGTTCCCACCCTGAGTACATCTGTCCTGGGTGTCAGAGACCTGGGTCAGAGCCCCGGTAGGTAGCCTGGGCACCCTGTGCTCAGGGAAGGAGAGGAGGGGGCGGGGAAGAGGAGAGGAAGGAGGAGGATACCTGCCCCTGACAGATGCAACCCTAAGGATGCTGCCGAGGGGGCCCTCTCCACCGAGTGCCGCATCCCCTTGTGGGATGGGCAGTGGGGGAGGTGGGCAGCCTTAGGGCTGGTGGCCCCGGGCTCCCGCTAGGACAGGTGGGTGCCTGGGGGAGGTGCACATGCGCGGAAAGAGTCCCGGGTTTAGGGACACGGACCCTAGCGCCCCTGCTCTGCCTGTGCTCCCACCCTCTGCGCCCTGGAGGGTGACAGGGGCGTGTCATTGGGGACAGCCCCCAGCGCATCCCAAGCTCCGTCTCACTAGGCCCTGGCCTCCCACCAGCAGTGTCCAGGAAGGTGCCTGAGTCTCTCCCTCCTGGGAGCCAGGATCAGGACTCGGGGGCTCCCGCGGCAGCTCACGAACGCCTGGTGCCCATCAGGTAATGTCCCTGGCACACCGGGTGGGGCTTTCTATGAGGGGACGTCTGTGAGCAGGGCAGGAGGAGTGGGCGCACAGCACCCCAGGGCATTCCTCATCAGCCCCACCCCAGCCAAAGGGCAATGCAAGGAGGAGAGGTTACTCTTGGGGCGAGAGGTGTTCGGGGAGCCCCTCCACACGTAGGGCTGGGCCCCGGTCTCTGCATTCCTTCCCATGCAATCTGCCGCAGCCCCGGGTGGGGGTGGAGCAGGGGCCCATCTTACCACCAGGGTCGGTGCCCAACCCCAGAAGTGGATGGGTGGCAGACAACTCACCCCGCTGCATGACCCCAGGATGGAGAGCGCGGCCTGGCCAGGGACAGAGGCCACTGAGCTCTGGGATGTCTGCAGCCATGTGTTCACAGAAACCATGCACCGGACATACGTGTACAAGGCCAGCGACCTGGGTGCCGCAGCAAGTAGGCTACGTGTGTGCCCACCGGGCAGTCGGCTGGGGGACACTTGCACGGAGGAGCCATCCAATGTGTGTCAGCTTGCTGCGGCCAGCCCCTGCGACCCCAGCCCCTGAGTCCCCTCCAAGGGGCATCCCTGGGAGGGGAGCACGGGCAGCAGGGACCTAGATGTCCTCTCTGCAGCCTAAGTTAGCATGCCCTGTGTGCCTGCCTCCAAGAGCCGGGTTCAAGCGGGGAGACGGTGCTCAGAAGCACCTCCTAACTGTCCGGAGCCTGCGCCGAATCAGGAGGGGCCGCCTTCACCTGGGAGGCCGAGGGGCTCTGTCACCCTGAGGGTCTCAGGGCCTTGAGATGCCTGGGGCGCCCGAGGCACCTGGATCCCTGCCAGCCCACCAGGGTCTCAATGATGCAGGCCCCCGCTCGCAGACTGCAGTGTGGGCTGCGGTGGGCGGCTGTGCTGTGCAGCCCGGACTTCTCCCCACGGTTTTCTCCGTACCCCCAGGACCCCCGTCCATGCAGGTCACCATCGAGGATGTGCAGGCACAGGGAGGCAGCACAGCGGAATTCCAGGCCGTCATCGAGGGCAACCCGCAGCCCACAGTGACCTGGTATAAGGTAGAGATGCATGTGGGCTGGGGCCCTATATCTGGAGGGAGAGTGTGAAATCCCCACTGGACATGGCGTGTCACTCACGGAAGGCAGGGTGGGCTGATGGTCACGCCCCACCTGTGCCTCCAGGACAGCGTCCAGCTGGTGGACAGTGCACGGCTCAGCCAGCAGCAGGAAGGGACAACCTACTCCCTGGTGCTGAGGGATGTGGCCCAGCACGATGCCGGTGTCTACACCTGCCTGGCCCAAAACGCTGGCGGCCAGGTGCTGTGCAAGGCGGAGCTGCTGGTGCATGAAGGTGAATCAGGGAACCCTTCCCAGGCTTCCTGCGGGCGTGGGGTCCTGTGGGCTCCCGCAGGCTTGGGCACAGGGAACTGCCCCGCAGATACTACAGAGTTGGGGAACAGTGAGAGGGGGTGGTGATCTCTGTCCACACTGGCAACTGACTGCTCCCTGGCTATAGGGGCCAGCGAGCTGGGCTCGGAGAAGCAAAGCTATCGGAGAAAACTGCACTCTTTCTACGAAGTCAAGGAAGAGATTGGGAGGTATCTCCCCCAGCCCCAGGAGCCCTGCCCCCATCCCTGCCCAGTCCCCCAAACCTGGCCTGCTGGAGTCCCTAGCCCAGGATCCCCAGCCCCAACCCCTGGAACCCTGCCCTCTGGAGTCCTGGTCCCCCATAAATCCTTACCTCCTGAGGACCCCACTTATCAGAGGCCACCCCTCAGTCCTCTCTGGATGCCTGGGAACCCTACCCAGCCCCCAGCCCTGCTCTCCCAGAATCCTCCCCTCTCAGGAATCTACCCGCCTATCAACTGCAACCCCGCCCTTTGGGAGCTCCCATCTCCTGGAAGACCCCCCCCATCCCATCCTCGCCTCCCCCCTCCAGTGCCCTCCCATCCTCAGGAAGCCCGTACCCTGGGAACCCTACCTCTAGGGAGCCCTTGCCTCCCCAGTACCCGCTCCCCCAGCCCCTGCCCTCCAGGAACCCCACCTCCCTCCTTGGAGCCGTCTTGGGAGTCAGCGTGGGCTTCCCTCTTCCTAGAGGTGTGTTCGGCTTTGTGAAGAGGGTGCAGCACAAGGGCAACCAGATGTCTTGTGCTGCCAAGTTCATCCCCCTGCGGAGCAGGACACGCACCCAGGCTTACCGGGAGCGAGATGTGCTGGCAGAGCTGAGCCACCCGCTGGTGACCAGGCTGCTGGACCAGTTTGAGACGCGCAAAACGCTCATCCTTGTCCTGGAGCTGTATCCAGCCCCCAGCCCCGAGAGCACCAGGAGGGAGCAGGCCTCGGGAGAGCAGGGGTCCCCGGTGCTGCGGGCCTGCGATCCTGGTGTCCTCGGTCCTGCTTTCCTAGTGGGGGCCGCCAGCTGGAACTCCCACGTTCCTGTTACGATGCTGTGTGGCTAACCAGCCCAGACATGGCCCTGTCCTCATAGCTCACTGCCCCTTGAGTCGGGAATTTGAGCAGGGTTATATCCAGAGGGTCCAAGACATGCCTGGGCAGGGCCCCTCCCCTGCTCCATGTGGCCTCTCGCAGCAGGTCAGGCTGCTTAAATGGCAGCCCTGAGCCCCAAGTGCTGGGATTCCTACTTTGTCCACTCAGGCTCGAGGGAGGGCCACACCCCTTCCCTGCCCCCTCTGGGTCTCACCCCACCACTTGCTAGAGTCTCTGGGTGTCACGTGCTCACTCCCCCCCCACCTCCCCCAGTCAGTGACCCCTGTCCCTGCAGGGGGTGTGGGCTTTGTGCAGAGTAGAAGATGTCTACACTCCAACTCTGCTACTGGCTCCTGGCCTCAGCTCTCTCCTCAACCTGGAGGGCCCACCTCCCCAGCATGGACCCCCACTTCCACCCCAAGATAAGACTTGCCATGGGGTGTGGAGCCGGGTGGGTTCCAGGCCCCAAAGCTTTCCTTGACCTGAGCCCCAGGTGCTCATCAGAGGAACTACTGGACCGCCTGTTCAAGAAGAGTGTGGTGACAGAAGCTGAGGTGACTGCAGCCTGAGCTGTCTGCCCAGCCAATAGGCTTGCATGTATACCCACCAGGCCTCCTACTTCCCTGCCCCCCACCCTGACTCCTGCCCCAGCAGACACAGCCTCCCCTCTTGCACAGTGTGCCCCAGCTCAGAGACCTTTTGGGGTCTCCAGGGCCTCACAAAGTGTCACATTTCCTCAGTCAGCTATCAAAGACCTCCTGGCCAGAGCTCACTACTTCCTCTCCCAGCCTGCACCTGGCCAATGGGCCAACCCTTGCCTTCTCCTGAAACATCAAGCTTCCTGTTTTGCTCAGGCAGCTTCACACATCCAAACCCTCCCCACCTTCAGGGCCCAGAGGAATCCCCGTGCCCAGGCTCATGGGGTCTGGGAGGCTTTGTTTGTACTGCCTCTGGGACTGTCCCAGGCTTGCGGGGAGTGGAGGTGTAGATTGGCACAGGGCGGGGAGGAAAGCGGAGGGGAGGGGCGGTCAAGGCTGACTGTCTTGCCTGTGCAATGGCCTTTGCCACTGTAGGTCAAGGTCTACATCCAGCAGCTGGCGGAGGGGTTGCATTACCTGCACAGCCACAGCATCCTCCACCTGGACATAAAGGTACTTGCCCCAACCACCCTGCATCTCCCGAGCCCTGGGAAGGGCAGAGGGGAGCCTGGGGCCTGCAGGCTGGAAAGGCACAGGCCCACCACTTCCAGTTTTCCTGTCAGGATTTACTCACTTTGGGGATGGGAAGCTCACTACTTTACCAGCAGCCCCTGCAGGTGGGGTGTGGCTCTGATAGAGCAGAGGCTGCCCCCAAATGGTACTGGAACCTGCTCCGGCCCCCACTGGCCTCTTCGTCTCATGGAACAGCTCCTCACAGACGCCCTAGTTACCCGCCTGCCTCAGACCTGGCAGCCCCAGGAGTCACCTCCGTAGGTTGAGGCCTTACCCACTCATGACTCTGTCCAACAGCCCCCCAACATCCTGATGGTGCATCCTGCTCGGGAAGACATTAAAATCTGCGACTTTGGCTTTGCGCAAAAAATCACCTTGGCAGAGCCAAAGTATAGCAAGTACGGGTCCCCTGAGTTTGTGTCCCCGGAGATCATTGAGCAGACCCCTGTGAGCGAAGCCTCTGACATCTGGTGAGTGGGTGAGCCCCCAGGGACAAAGCCACCATGACAGCCCATCCTCCTGTTCTCTGCCTGCCGTCCTCTCAGCTGCCGTTCCCCTCATGCCCCTCACCTGGGGGCCAGGCTGGGTGACTCACAGCTGTGGTTTTGTTCCCACAGGGCTATGGGGGTCATCTCCTACCTCAGGTGAGCAGACCTGTGCCCCATCTCCTCAGAAGAAATCCCAGACCCCACCCACAGGCTCATGGGAGGTCCCAGGCCCCGCTGGCCCTCCCCAGATCAGAGACCTGGGACCCAAGGGGCAGCTAGTTTGGAAACAAGCAGTTGGCCAACTTGGATAAGAGGTTTTGCCCAGGGCTCTTCACCATACCTGTCCCAGCGGAGCTCTTCCCAGTGGGGTCGTGAGGCACAGCGCTGAGCTGTTTCCTCAAAGGGTCTGGCTGGTTTGTCCAGAGGCCCTCCATCGCAGTTACTGCCCTGAGGACGCTGCTGGTGTAGACTGAGCCCAGATCCTCACTCCAGCCTGAGCCTGCACACCTGGGCAAGTCTGAGACACTTGCTGGGACACTGAGGGAACTAAGAGGCCATCCCAGTCAGGGCTCCTCCGACCAACCCCAGGGGACCCAGAGGTCCGGGGTCATGTCTGAGAGCCCGACACTCACTGTGCTTTCAGCTTGACCTGCGTGTCCCCATTTGCGGGCGAGAGTGACCGAGCAACCCTCTTGAACGTGCTGGAGGGGCGGGTGTCTTGGAGCAGCCCAGTGGCTGCACACCTCAGCCCGGATGCTCAGGACTTTATCAAGGCTGCCCTGCAGAGGGTCCCGGAGTGAGTGTGCATGCCCTCCTCTCCTCCCCCATCCCCTGTTCAGGGGACCAGCCGACCCCTGGCCTGACCCCTGGCTTGGTCTCCCCACAGAAGCCGGCCCAGTGCAGCCCAGTGCCTTGCCCACCCCTGGCTCCAGGTGAGTAGGGTGAATCTGGCAGGCCTGGTGAACAGGGAGGAAAAATGAGGCCCAGAGGGTGGGGCCTATCTGGCTCTAGGGTGCACCAGGGTCTCCCCTCACACACGTGGCTTTCTCACCCGGGCCCCCCAGAAGTCCCTGCCCGCGGAGGAGGCCCACTTCATCAACACCAAGCAGCTCAAGTTCCTCTTGGCCCGCAGCCGCTGGCAGGTGAGCCAGGCGGGATGGCTGAGGGGTGGGCAGGGAGGGGCCTGGAGGCAGGTGGGGAAACTGAGGTCCCAGGGCTGGCTGTGCACAGGGAGGTGGGGGCTGGGCATCCTTCTTTCAGAATCTGTGTTCCCTGAGCTGACAGGACGGGGCATTCAATTGTCTTCATTGTGGAGAATCAAACTGAGTGTTAGAGCAGGAAAGAAAACACAGGAATGTGATGCCCTTGGGTCTAAAATCTTCTTTCTTTCTTTCTTTCTTTCTTTCTTTCTTTCTTTCTTTCTTTCTTTCTTTCTTTCTTTC